TGTTGGTGTTCTCTGTCGTCTTGGTAACGACCAAGTGGTAGGGCTTGTCCTCTGTCAACAACGTATTGCCTCAACTGACCACATTGTATGAGCTCCTCTATCTGCCTCTTGAGCTCATTGCAGTCATCTGTGTTGTGGCCATGGTCGCGGTGGAAGCGACAGTACCTGCTGTGATTTCTACGGTTTGGGGCAGACTTCATTTTTCCTGGCCAACGGAGCATGGGGTCATCATGTATCTGGAATAGGATGTGCTCCACCGAGGTATTGAGTGGCATGAAAGGTTGTTGGTCTTTCGGGGGGTACGGACCAAGACGGTCCTTCACAGAAACTTTTTCGGTTCTCTTTCTCTTATTCTCCGCCTCCCACTTGTCTTCACGGGTGTCTTTCCTCTTCTCCCCTCCTTGGGAGGACTCACCTCGATGGGCCTTGATGACGTCCTCAACATTCATGTATTTCTGTGCCCTTGACAGCAACTCGAGCATGTTGGAGGGCGGCTTTTTGAGGACAGAGAACATGAAACTAGAGGTACGAAGGTTGGCATTAAAGGCTACAAGAGATACCTTATCATCTGGCTCCTCCATTTGGAGAGCCTCCTCGTTGAAGCGGGCGAGGTAGTCATGAAGGCTTTCTTCCCTATCCTGCTTGATGGTGAGCAGGTGGGTCACTGGTTTTTGATGGGGACGTCCCCCAATGAAGTGGGAGATGAATGACCTACTTAATTTCGCAAAGGAGCGGATGGAGGAAGGCCTGAGCTTGGAGAACTATTGGCGAGTAGACCCTTTTAAGGTGATAGGGAAAGCCCTACACATGATCTCCTTAGGCACATTGTGGAGTTGCATGAGAACTTGTAGGTATCCAGATGGTCAAGGGGGTCTTTGGTGTCGTCAAAGATCTCGATGGTGGGCATCTTGAACTTCGAAGGCAACAGGTAATTAATAATGTCAGTAATAAAAGGAGTATCAGTGCGCCTCACCAAATAGTCCATGATTTCAAGCGTCTGTTCCTTGATGGCGTTGAGGGCATTACCAAGCTGGTCCTATACTTCCCTGATCTTCTCATCCCACTGGTTGGGGATATCTTCGATCGGGTGATGATACTGGCTCTCGTGGTCTCCGTATTGACTTTCTCCTTCATCCTCCTGCGCAGGCATGTGCGAAAGGGAAACACGTGCACTCCCTGTGCATTGAGGAGGGATCGTTTGACGAGGGGCTCACTGACGTTGCCCTGGAACATTCTATCGAGGGACCTGGCACCCAGAAGAGACGGGTAACGGCTCCTCTTCCATTGGAGGGAGTGGGACTCCCCCTGCGGGATGATGGGTGACACCTCCTTAGGAGAGCATGAGTTGGATGATTTACTGGTTTTTGGTTCACCAGCAGCTTCATGGTCTAGAGGAGTTGTTGCTGCTGTCCAGCGGCAGCAGTGGTAGTAGCGGGAGGTTCCATAGGTGCAGTGGAAGGCAAAGCCTCCTCCCGGTGAGTTGGGTTGTGATTTCCATGGATTGCAAGAAGGTTGAAAGGTAGTAGAAACTTTATCGTTTTCCACAGACGACGCCAAACTGATGATGCACAAAACTGTTTTCGTGCAAGATCAACAGTCAAGTATGTGTAACGGTTTGATTAATGAGCAATCAAGAGTAAAACAGTAAATAATATATCAACACAGGGATTTATAGTGGTTCGGTCCGGGTGACCTACTCCACTCTCGGGAACGGCAGCAGTGGCCTGATGTTCTTTATTGATGAATCATGGTCTCTGGAGAGTTACAGTGCTTTTGAGAGAGAGAGAGAGATAGATGAGTGCGGAGAGGTTTTGGAGACTTCAAGGTGTAGAGGTCTCAAGAAGGTCCTTGGAGGCGTAAGAGGCCCTTTCATGTTGAGAGGGCTTACATTATATAGCTAGGGTAAGGTAGCAGAGGCGGTGACGTGAGGGAGAAGAATTCCATTACTTTGACAAGTATTGTTATGGTAGGAGATCTTCTATATCTATCTCCATATTATCTTCCCTCGTGCTCCTATTCATCCGGAGGAGAACATTAGTTGGACCTGGACCTAGACTTGTCTTGAGTAGGCTTGGCTTGGACCTGGACCTGGACTTGTCTTGGACCTGGACCTGGAGTACCAAGGTGAGGAGGACCAAGAGGAGGGGCGCCCAAGGGCTCCCTTGTCCTCCTCCTTCTTCGGCCGTTGATCCTATTCATCCGGAGGAGAACATTAGTTGGCCTTGGACATAGACTTGTCTTGGACTGGACCTGGAGTACCAAGGTGAGGAGGACCAAGAGGAGGGGCGCCCAAGGGCTCCCTTTTCCTCCTCTTTCTTCTGTCGTTGCTCCTATTCATCCGGAGGAGAACATTAGTTGGACCTGGACCTGGACTTATCTTGGACCTGGACTTGGAGTACCAAGGTGAGGAGGACCAAGAGGAGGGGCGCCCAAGGGCTCCCTTGTCCTCCTCCTTCTTCGGTCATTGGCTTTTGGTGTTCTCCTCTTGGTGTCCTCCTCGATGGATCGACAATGGACGCTTCTTTGGGCTTTCTCGATTTATCTAAATATGGCTTGGCCTAGTAAAATCCAGACTCATCAAGTTCTATCATACTATTACCAAAAGTAAAGCAGTCAAAGGCAAGGTTAGAAAGATTAAGAATGAGGAGGGAGTTTGGTTGGTTACTGAGGAGGAAATTTCTTCTCATGTTGTTTCCTTTTTCTCTAAATTGTATAAATCTGAATCTCATGAACTACTGGATAATATTTTTGAAACTATTTCTCCTATGGTTGGTGTGGTTGAGAATGAGAATTTAATTTGTGTTGCTTCTATGGAGGAGATTAAAGGAGTGGTTTTTTAAATGTCAGTAGAGAGTGCCCCAGGGGCAGAAGGGTTTTTAGGCAAATTTTTTCAAGTAGCATGGGAGATCATTTAGCAGGATATGTTTGAGGCTGTTAATTTCTTTTTGATAGGTGGAAGTGTGCCTAGGTCTGTTAATGCTACTTTGCTAGCATTAATACCTAAGAAGTTCTAATCCAACTTCTTTTACAGAATTTCGCCCAGTTAATTTATGCAACTTTTTATACAAAGTGTTTACAAAATTGCTGGCTAAAAGATTGGCTTTATTGTTACCTTCATTAGTTTCTGAGGCACAACATGGGTTCATACAGGGAAGGAGTATTGGAGAATGCATTTCTTTAGCTCAGTTTATGATAGGTGAGCTTAATAGAAAGGTGGAGGCTAGAAAAAGTGTTCTTAAACTTGATATGATGAAAGCGTATGATAGAATGAAATGGGACTTTATTCAGAAAGTCTTAAGGTGTTTTGGTTTTTCTGAGCTATTTGTGACTATTATTGGTAATTGTGTTACGAATCAATTCTTTTCAGTGTGCTTAAATGAACAAAGACATGGTTTTTTCCTAGCTTCTCATGGTTTAAGAAAGGGAGATCCTATTTCTCCCTCTCTATTCATTCTGGCATAGGAGGTTCTCAGCAGGGGGTTGACTAAGCTTTTTGTTGAAGGGTTGGTGAAGCACTTTCATACTGGTAGAGGGACAATAATGATTTCTCATTTCCTTTTTGCAGATGATACATTATTGTTTCTAAGGGGAAATAAGAGTTCTTTGGTGAAGTTGCTGGAGTTTTTGAATTTGTATTAAGGTTATTCTGGGCAGAGAATCAGCAGGCATAAAAGTTCATTGATTTGTTCATCCAGAATTCCTCAGCACAGAACTTTAATGTTGTTCAGATTAGCTCAAATACCTATTAAAAAGTACCCAATTGCTTATTTGGATTGTCCCTTGGTGAGTGGTAGGAGTCGATTGAGATATTTTGAAGAGCTTGTTCTAAAATTTAAAGCTAGAATAGAAGGGTGGCAAGCTAGATTACTTTCTAACATGAGGAGAGTGGTGATGGTACAGTCTGTGTTAAATTCTGTTCCTATACATTTGCTAGCTTGTTTGAATTTGCCTAAAGGGATTCTATCCAGATTGAATTCTCTGATGGCTTCTTTCATTTGGTCTGGGAAGGCAGAAGTTAAGAGAAGGCATTGGGTTTCCTAGCAGGCTATTGCTAGACTAAAACAAGAAGGGGGCCTGGGGATTAGAAGGTTTGAAGATATTCAGATAGCTTTCAGAATGAAGCAAATTTGGGGGATTTTACAATGACAGTTTCTTTGGGCTAAAGTTTTTACTGCAAAGTTTTTGAAGGGAGGTCATGTTTTGAGATGTCTCAGTCATGGTAAGTTGAAAAGTTTTAAAATGCTGAAGCCTTAGATTGATATGGTGGTTAGGAATTCTTTCTCAGTTGTAGGGGATGGAAGTTCAATGGAATTCTAGTGTTCCAATTGGTTGGGATCTGATCCTCTGTTGCTAAGGGTTTCTAAGTTCCCTGTCTGTTTTTCCAAACTTTCTGAGGTATATGTTGATAATAGGTGGCAGTAGCAAGTGTTAGGGAGTCATTTTAATGATTAGCTTAGAGAGGAAATTTTATCTTCTGATGTTAGTTTGTCTAATAGGATTGTTTGGTCTGGAAGCCCATTGTTAATGGTCTTTTTTTGGTCAAATCAGCTTGGCAGCTTGTTAGGAATGATGGGAAGGTCAATCCAGTGGCTTCTGCTATCTGGAAGCTTTTTGTTCCTCCTAGTGCTAAGTTGTTGGGATGGAGGCTTCTGAACAATGCTATACCTTTGGATTCCAGATTTCAATCCATTGGGGGTAAGTTTGGCTAGTAGGTGCTCTTTGTGCTCTGCTGAAATGGAGACTGGTTCTCATCTTTTTGTTCATTGTAGTGTTGCTGCTATGGTTTGGTCCAAATTAGCAGCTTTGTGTGGTTTTCATTTGATTAATAGTGAATCTCCAATAATTAGGATGGTGAGAATTGGGAGAATCTTTAAGAAAGGTTCTTTTTGTCATGCTCTAATGAGAGGACTATCATTGGTAGTGTACTGGCTTCTTTGGAAGGAAAGACGTAGGAGGGTTTTTGATAAGGGTTGTTTGTCTTCTCATGCTATTTTTTTAAGGGTTTGTGAGGTTGTGAGGATTCAAGCTAAGGTGTTCAGAACATGTGCAATAGAAAGTGAAAGGGGCAAGGAGGTTTTGCCGGCTTTGGGGATTGAGTATATTCAAAATATTCAGATTATTGCTCTATGCGTAACATGGTTTCCTCCTTTATATGGAATGCTGAAAATTAATGTTGATGGGGCTTCTAAAGGGAATCCTAGTAGAGCTGGGGGTGGAGTAGTGGTTAGAAACCATTAGGGTCACCTGGTTTTTGCTGTCTCTTTTTATTATGGGGAGTATTCAAACATGGAGGCAGAGTTAAGAGCATTGAGAGATGGTCTGGTTTTATTGGAGAGGCATAACCTGCTTGGTAATCAGTTTAAATTGAAACTGATTCTGAGGTTATGCCACAGATGATCTTAAAAGGGCACTATAGAGCTTGGAAATTCTGGTGACAATTGAGGCAGATTTTGGGGAGATTGGACTATTTGGAGTACAGTCTGCTGCATGTTTACAGGGAGGCAAATTGCTTGGCAGATTATTTTGCTAATTTGGCAGTGCTGAATGATTGCTCTTCTAAATTTTCCCTACGCCTGTCTATTCCTGTGCAGGCAAGGTTGTTGTTATTGTATGATCAACAAGGGCTGCAGCTGCTGAGGAAGAAGAGGAAATTTCTCTAAATTTCCTTTATGCAATTTTGATATTTTTGGAATTTCATTGATGTAATTCTTTGGATTATAGGATGTCTTGAAGGATTAAAGCCAAATTGGTTTTAATTCTCTTTGTTTCTTGTAATTTTTGATTCATGCAATAAAATTTCCTCTTCTTTAAAAAAAAAGAAAATAGGGATTTGGCCCCTCTCTGAGGTATGACTTTGTGCACGATGGAAATAATGTCTAACTGTTGTGGCCTTCTTGGATAAATTGATGAAACTTTGTCAGATACTCTAGACAAATGCATCTAAAGCACATCCAAATACCAGTTCTTCCTTGAAGACTTCTCTTTGGTTTAATTTTTTTTTTATCACTTCAATTTTTTGTTTGCAAGCTCCTATGAAATGTTTTATTATTAACTATTTGATATAAACTTTGTATTGTATATATTTGATATAAACTTTGCATGTATATATTTTATTACTGTTCCATGAGTTTTTAGATCAATTTTCATGTTTTTTTGGTTCTCTCTATTGCTAAGTAGAACTAAAGCCTTTGATCCCAACTAACTCTTCCACATTTTCAGATGCTTGGTTTTGCCTCAAGTTTTGATAAATTCAAATTGATTTCTATTCCTTATATTATGTAGATATGTTGAATAGAAATCAATTTCGATTTTAAACTTGATGATGTAGATCTGTTGAATAGATAGTTTTCGATTCCAAACTTCATTTTGTTCTAAACTTGATTATGTAAATTTCGTTGTTGATTTCGAATACGCTTTTTACTGTTGTCTTCTTGCGTCTCATTTTTGCACTACACATATCTCTCCCTCTCCCTCTGCCTTTCTTTCTATTATTTCTCTGAGATTGAGGAACCTTACTTCTCTTATTGATTCAAGTGTCCCACTCTTGCGATTATTAGATTTAGGTTTGTCAGAGTTCTTTTATTGTATGACATGACCTATGAATTCACACAACACTACATGATATTTATTTGGGAGTCTTAACCGTAAATTCTCTCGAAATAGACAGACTTCAACATGTACATGAGGGGATAGTTCAAAAAAAAGGCAGAGGGGGAAGACAATAAGATGTGCCACTTCAAGAATAGAAATTTCTATTTGGACAATTCCTGCTTTCCATTGAATCTTTCATTTATTTAAGTATCTTTCCGACCCCTTTAAGCATTTTGTACATTTAATTATATCATAGAATTATTAATTTTTATTTTGTTAAATAAATTGATTAGATCACTTATAATATTATTATTTTATTTTATATCAAAAAATAAAATATAGCGTATATTTGGGTGTAGAATTCAACCTGATAACTATATGTGTATAATAATTTAATATATATAAGACTTTACTTTTTCATATAGATATAGATAATTATATATAACTGTATTACTAATAAATGAATTCAAAATAATTTATAAGTCCATATGAAAGAGTCCAAAACAAGTTGAAAGTCACATAGGTGTAAAAAATAAAAATATACAGATAGGTATAATTGAATTTATTATAATAATTAGAGATAAAATCAAAAAAATTTCACGGATGCTGACATTTATAAGTAGGATAGATATAAATATAGATATGTCCCCTTTTTGGATTTTTTCTTTAATGAAATTTTAAATTGAATTTTTTATTTATCAAATTGGTGTCCCCCTTAAGGTTCTACTCTTTTTCTTTGGTTTTCCCTTCTTAGGTCCCAATGGGATTATAACACACTCACACAACTCAACACACACAACAACACATGCACGCGCACACACAAAAACAGAGCAAACACACACACCCATGGAAATCTTGAATTTGTCTTTGTTTGTGCAACCACTATGTTCTATAATTTTTTCAATGGAGCATATGACTGATAAACACCTCAGTGATGACACATAGTGCTGCCGGAAGGTAATTTCCCTTTCGTTCTACTGTTGATCTTTCAGCTATGTATTTTATATACATTTTGTCACTCATAAAGAAAGGCTTTTGATAGCTATAGGCAATAGTTAATGACATTTTCATTGTTCTTTTAACTAATTATGTGCTATTACTTTAATCTATGTATAAAGGTAGTTGTGCAAAATTTCAAAGCTACAACCGAGCAAGGGTTTTGATATTTATGGCCATTGGTTTTCAAAATCTCATAGATCCAAGGAAAAGATAAGTTGGATGTACATGTTACGTGAATTGTCTTTTATCTATACTTCATTCCCCTGAATTCTGTGTTCTAAGCAAATGCATTGAAAAAAATAGTGAGATCCTTGCAATAAGGCAATGTGAACTAATTAGGACGTAATGAAATACATTGACGTGGCATGCCCTGGCTATTCATTAGGGTTCTTTGATCTCAGCTTTACACGTACTCTGATGAAATAAGAACTACTAATCATATCTATTCACTTCCTCCTTTGTATTTGTCATTGTGTTTGCATGTATGCAGTGTAAAAAGATTACGGTCTATTATGCTTTTTGTCTCTCTCAATTGTGGCCCATATTTCATTAAGAGTTGCTATTTTGAATGAATATCATTGCCAATTTGTCTATTTTTGCAAATTTAGTAGCCACTTATTTATTCTTTTTCACAAAGTAGAAGGTGATGATAAAACGCTTGTATGATGCTAACATGAGAAAGTAGTTAGATGTCAACTAGAAAAGAAAATTTTGTCTGGCCTATCACTTTTTCAAGTATACATGTGGTGCGGTAGCTTTGGTTAAATGTTCATGTAGGAAGAAATAGTTTTTTGGCTTTTTCAAATACATAAAATGGGCCCATTTTTGTTTAA